AATAAAGTTGGAAGAGTCATACTTCCTGATTTTACAACTTACTATAAAGTTATATAGTAATCAAGACAATGTGGTACTGCTGTAAGTACAGATGTACAGACCAATGGAATAGAACTGAGAATCCAGGATTAAACCCATACATCTACTGCTAATAATATATACCACATTTTAAATAAATTGATATAAAGTAAATTAAACAAAAATCAAAGGAAAACTACCATTGTGCCAAGTTAATTCACCTGGGGAAAGAATAGTCTCTTCGACTAATGGTGCTGGGACAACCATATTTCCACATGCAGAAGAATAAAATGAACCCCCATCTCACATCATATATAAAAATTTATTCAAAATAGATTAAAGACTATTTTGAGCTCTTATGCTCTTAGTAGTCATAAAACTCTTAGCAGAAAACAGGGGTGAATCTTCATGATCTTGAATTTGACAATGTATTCTTAGATATGAGTATGAGTAATAAAACAAAAAAAATCAGAACTACATCAAACTTAAAAATTTTTGTGTATCAAAGGACATTATCAAAAAGTGAAAAGATAACTCACAGAATAGGTGAAAATACTTGCAAATCATATGTCTGATAAGGTTAGGTATCCAAGATATATAAAGAACTCCTACTACTCAACAACTAAAAGAAAAACAACCTAATTAAGAACAGGCAAAATAACTGAATAGATATTTCTACAAAGAGGATATAAAAATGGCTAATAAGTGCAGGAAAAGACACTCAACATCATTAGTCATGAGAGAAATGCAAATCAAGACCACAATGAGATACCATTTCATACCTGCTAAGATGGCTGTAATCAAAAGAAAATAACTACTGACAAAGATGGAGAGAAACTGAGACCCTCATTTTGCTGGTGGGCATAAAAAATGGTGCATTCACATGGAAAACAGACAGCTCTTCAAAAAACTACACACAGAATTCCCATACGACCCAACAATTCTACTCCTAGGGACATATCCAGAAAAATGGAAAGTAGGGCTCAAACAGATACTTACATGTCAATATTCACTAGAGCATTATTCACAAAAACCAAAGGTGGAAACAACCCAAGTGTCCACTAACAGATGAACAGATAAACAAGTTGTGGTATATACATGCAATGGAAAAGTATTCAGTCATAAAAAGAAATGAAATTCTGACACATGGTACAAAATGGATGAACCTTAAAAACATCATACTAAGTGAAATAATCCAAACACAAAAGGATAAATATAGTATGAATCCATTTGCATGAAATACCTAGAATAGGCAAATTCACAGAGACAGAACAGAGGTTACCAGAGAGAAGAATTGAGAAGTTATTGTTTAATGGACTGAGAGTTTCCATCTGTGTGACAAAAAAGTTTTAGAAATAAACAGTGGCAATGATTATACAACATAGTGAATGTAATAAACGCCACTGGGTTTTATACTTAAAAATGGTTAAAACAGTAAATTTTATGTTACATTTATTTCATCACAATTTAAAAAAGTTAAAAGGATAATTTTTATGTTATATAAATTTTACCACAAAAATATATTCAGTTTCCAAGTTACATTAGCTACATATCCAGTGATCAACAGTCACACATGGCTGGTGGCGACCTATCACCATGTTGGACAGTGTATATGTAAAAATATGTAATATCACAAAAAGTTCTAGTAGATAGTTCTTATTTGGAAGCAAAACTACCAATTCCAAATCCAAAATGATTAAGAAATGAGGAAAACAAGGAGAAAACTGCATTCAAAAAAGAAGTATCCTCTACAACAGCAGTCTCCCACCTTTTGGGGTTCAAGAAAGACAGTTTTTCCATGGATTAAGGGGTGGGAAGGAAGGATGGTTTCAGGATGATTCAAGCACATTACATTCATCGTGTACTTTATTTCTATTATTACATTGTAATATATAAGAATCTAATGCCAGCGTTGATCTGACAGAAGGAAGAGCTCAGCAGTAATGTGAGTAATGGAGAGGGGCTGTAAACACAGAAGCAGCTTTGTTGGTTTGCCTACCACTCACCTCCTGCTGTGTGGCCTGGTTCTTAACAGGCCACAGAACATTACCAGTCCGTGGCATGGCAGTTGGGAACCCCTGCTCCAGAGGTTGCCTCAGCTATCAGACCAAAAGAGGAGAGTACAAGGGGAGTACATTCTCCAAAGGTTTTTAAAAAAAAAAGAGTGCTAAAATGGAATAGCAAATAATAAAATTTGGAAAAAAACTGTGGTCAAAGTGACAGATAGTTTCAGATCTATCTTATCTGGGTCTTAGCTTCCTCATCTATAAAAACAGGATTCAACTAGATGTTTTCTGACTCTTAATGTTCTTATCTCATTGGAGGCTTATAAAAAAATGAGGAAAGACTACTAAATAACTTTTTCAGGATCAGCCAAGGTTAAAACTAAGATTCAGCTGGATTAAATTCTAGTGATACTCAACACTGGCTGAACACTAGAATCACCTGGAGACTGAATAAATACACCAAAGCCTGAGCTCTGACTCACAAAGATGAAGTTGAGTCTTTGGGAAGATACCTAGGCCATCTAGCGTTTTTAGAAGCTCCCCAAAGTGATTCTGACAACAACAAGGGTTAAGAACCACTATGCTAGAATGTAAGCGATTGTACAGTTCAGGCAAGAAAAATTAATGGGAAACACTTCCCTTTTTTCTTGTCAGGCAACCAAAGTTACATCTACATAGATAACAACTGCCAAGAGGAAGGTTACGTATATTACAAATACAAGTCCTTTTTTACAGTCCAGAGGAACAACTGTCTAAAAAAGCAGCCAAGAAGAAAATAAACAGTAAACTATTAAAATCAAAATTTTGAAACAAATTCTCAAGTATTAAAAAATAAATCCCCTCTTTAAAAATTTTAAATTTGACTAGGTGTGCTGGCTCATGCCTATAATTCCAGCACTTCGGGAGATGGAGGCAAGAGGATTGTCCAAGCCCAGGGATTCAAGACCAGTCTGGGCAACTTGGTGAGACCTCGTCTCTACAATTAACAACAACAAAAAAATTAGCCAGGTGTGGTGGCTTACGAGAAGGATCATCTGAGCCCAGCAGATCAAGGCTGCAGTAGCCATGAACATGTCACTGCCACCAGCCTGGGTAACAGAGTGAGACTTCGACTCAAAAAAAGTTTAAATGCTCAGTTATTTATCTAAAGCTCACAGAAGAAAAAGAGGCATGCATAAATAGAAAATTTCCTACAGGTTCCAAGTTAGCATTCTAAAAGGGTCATGCCATCAGGGAGCTGTCAGTCAGGCAGGATCATAAGGCAACAAGACTCACAATGCTTTGAAAACATTCTACTACTAGCCTGCCAAGGATCCATCCTTGACTACGTGTCACAGAATTGAAAAAAACAAAAACAAAAAAACTAACCCTTAATTATTCATAGCTAGACAGTAAAGTGGGAGGTGGAGGGAGAAACTGTTTCCCAAAGGCCTTTACTGAAGATGATGGCTAACATCAGTAGGCTCCATCGGTACTTTCCAGGCATTACCTCTCTGAACTTTCACAACTACCTTGTGAGGTATGTACTACTAACCTTTTATAGTTAAGGAAACTGAGAGACACAGAGGTTAGAAAAGTTGCTCAAAGTCACACACTTGGAAATAAAAAGAGTACAAATCTAAGCCCAGGAAGGCTGATTCCAGAGCATGTGCTCTTAACTAGTATGCTAGCCTGTGATAGTGTGCTATCCTGTGATTGACTGAATAGTAGCTGGAGATACAGATAGCAAGAAGAGGAAGGGGAGGTACAACAGAGGACTGATAGCATCTGCTCCAGAAGACAAAGCAAGGATGGGACTTTTGAGATATGTACCTAAGAAAAAGGGAATGGGGAGTAACAAGGTGTGCTAAGTATAGGGAGACAAAACTCTGTATTCATTCAGTAATATTCAGAGAGAAATAAATAGCTTTATCTGAAAAACACAGATCTTTCAGTTCATGAAGAAAGAACATTCTCTCTAGCAGAAGGTAGTCTGAATACATGGATAGATAACATGAACATCACGCTCATCATACAAGTATATCCAAGTGAACTGACATTCTACAAAAATAAACTCAAACGACCCTGAGTTTATAAACTCGATGAGTCTGTTCAGGTAAGGGGCTATAACAGCTTTTAGGTCTCTAAGCATGACAAAACAAGTAATCATAGCATCTATAAATATGAAGACCATACGAAGGCAAGTCAATTGAATTCTATAAAAATCCCCAAAAGTAATTCTAGATATATATTTTAACATTTTTTTACCCCTAAGTATTTCCCCCAAAGTGGAACTGATGAGAATTCCAACAAACCACATTTTGATGACAATAAACTATGAAACAAGCATATAGCAGATAGGGACTAAAATAAAGGAGCTGTGACAAACTATAAACTAGACAGTATATCTGGGAGTAAATTAAAGTTTGGCTGCAATCTGGGATAAAGTGTTAAAAAAAAAAAAGGTACATGACAGGATGACCTTATCACTTCTTGCTTTTACTATCTGTTGTTAAACAATAAACATAAGAAGAGTCAGCAGGTATATCATTAAGGGATCAAACATACCCTTTTTAATATATAAAACAAACATAACAGCAAGATGACCTTGATTTAAAAATGGGTATCTTGTGCTCATTAAGTGTTTGTACAAGCAGACTAAACCTGTCACTAGGATCTGTAGTTTATCATGAGTACACCTGGGTCTCAGAACTGCTGTGGGAAGATTAATATAAGCGATTCACTGCAAAAAGATGATAGATAAAAGATTTAAAGGATTTTTCAGCATATGAGGAATTTTTCCAACTCACAAAAGTAAACTGAAGCCTCTTTCTTGGCAAGGCAAGCTACTAAGCAAGAATGAAGATCTCATAATGTATATCTAGACTATAAAAGCAAGTAACTGAGAGTTTTCCCTAGAGATAAGTAAAGATAGTATACATCCATGACACTGCAATACAGATAAGAAACAAGAATCCAAAACTTTTTAAAGGATACGGTCTGTACCAGGAAACAATGTTCTTCCAGTCAACAGCTCGGCCATTATGCATCCCACTGACCAAATATCAACTGGCAAAATTAAAGAGAAAGTACAAGCAATGTCATTTTTATTACATTTGGCCATAAGTGAAACCATAGCTAGGGGTGAAATATTCAAATTAATATTTAAGATATCTATGACTCAACACTCATACTCATTTTTACAGAAATAAGTTTATTAAGACCTTCACCTGACTAAGGGGCTATTCATAGGTCAGGTAAGAGAAATAAGCTATTCAAAAGGGACAAAAGTTTCTTATTGGTAGAATGGTAGACTCCTCTCAAGTAATATCAAGGAGTTAAGATTATAGACACATTGTCTTTAGGTAGAAGTATACAGAGAATATGTTGAAAATATAAATAGGAACTCAATTGCTAAATCACAAAATTTAAAAGCTATGTATTAAAAGCCCTTTTATCTTATCTGAGCAAGTGAAATATTTTCTATTCATAGGTTTTAAAAGATCACTGAGTGAAGAAAACATATTTCTTCCCACTCCTACCATCTCTACTTCTGAGAATCTCAAATACATTCAACATGGTATTAATAAGGCCCTAAATAACCAGTGCAAGCAATACCTGTCTGGTTGTAATGCATCCAGTTCAGCATGATCTCAGGAGCCCTGTACCACCTAGTAGCCACATAGCCCGTCATCTCATCATCTGTATGCCGAGCCAGTCCAAAATCCAGGATCTAAGGGAATGAAAAGAACTCAGGTACTGGAACAGATAAACTGCTAAGACTCATAAAGCGGACAGGGAAAAGACTCTGTTGTCTTATTTTTAAAAAGGGGAATAATATTGTACTTTCATAAGCAGATTTCCTGGTCCATGCTTAGAACACATGGTTAAGCACACAGCGATAATTTTAAAAACTGAAATTACAAAAAGTAAAAGTCTTATGTATTTAATCAAGAGCAATGTAAACTTACATCCACACAAAGGCTTGCACATGAATATTCACAGTAGCTTTATACAGCCTCAAACCTGAACTGAAGCAAATGTCCATCAATAGGTATATAGATAAACAAGTTCTGGTATGTTCATTAAATTAAATACTAGCTGGGCATGATGGCTCACACCTGTAATCACAGCACTTTGGGAGGCAGAGGCAGAGGCAGAGGTGAGAGGATTGCCCAAGCCCAGAGATTTGAGATCAATCTGGGTAACTTGGCGAGACCTCGTCTCTACAATAAATCAAAAAATCAGCAGGGCGTGGTGGCGCACACCTGTCATTCCAGCTCCTTGGAAGGCTGAGGTGGAAGGATCACCTGAGCCCAGTAAGTCGAGGCTGTGGTGGCCATGAGTTTGCCGCTGCACTCACGCATGGGCGACAGAGTGAGACTTCTACTTTAAAAAAAAAAGGCATACTACTGCTCATTAATTAAAAGGAAGACATTAACGATACACATAACAACATAAATGAACAATGTTATACTAAGCACAAGCCAGACACAAAAAATACACAATGTACAATTCCATTTATATGAAACTCCAGAAAAGATAAATCTATAGTGTCAGAAGCAGATCGATAGTTGCCTAGAGTCAGAATTAGGGGTAGAGGGGTGAGGATTTACTAGGACAGACATAAGGAACTTTTTGAAGTGTGTAAATATTCTTTATCATAAATATGATGGTTAACAGACATACAAATTTCCAAAATGTGCACTTAAAAATAGTGTGCTTTAATGTGTGCAAATTGTTTTTAAAAAGTTGAGGAAAAACAAAACAAAAACTTTCCAGAGCTGGTTGCTCTTTATAGACAATTCACTTTTATTTTATTTGAATTATCTTGAGTGAGCGGGTTTCTGCCATTTTTCCTCTTAGAAATCTATTTAATCAGGATTGCTTGCTTGATATTCAGACTATAATTCTCCTTTATTATGAATATATAAAATTTCTAATTTAGCTTTATTTTAAAATGAAAACAAGACGATGATGCCATTTTCAATGTTACTTAGCTTATTCAGAAATGGTTTAAATTTCTAAGTCCGATAATATGAACTGGATGAATTTTCAAATAGAAAGTTGTGGTTTATAAATCTATTCCCTGTAACTGTTTGCCTGGTTAGTCAAACATATAATCTCAAGGTGAAGCAAACAATTATACTATCTCTTTTTACCTTCAGCTCACAGTCTTCATTCACAGCTAGATTACTAGGTTTTAGGTCCTAGGAAGCAAGTAGAGAGACGACACAATCAACTTTATGACAAATTCTCTCCCTACAGGTAACAATGAGGAACCACACACAAAAGTAAGACTTCATCCAGCTATGAACAGACCTACCCTAGTCAGTATCTCACCCTAGTCAGTATCTGGTCCAAATTAGCCTTTAGTAGGAACAAACTATAATTTTCTTTCTTTAATTAGTTTAACCTAAAGCAAAGTTACAATTAATCAATATTTCAATGGCTAAAGTAAGTTTTGGATCTTGGCTAAATGCCCTTCTTCCACCCCCACCCCACTTCTCCCAAATAATTTAATCAAAATCACAATACATACCCTGTGAATTATGTCAGCTGAATGTATATACTGTAAAAGAGAAAAAATTCAGTTGAATGAAAGTTTTATCTCCAACCTCCCACTGTTGTATCATATAATATCTCTGCTATACATTTTCATTAACTGATAAGAACTGCTAGTGTTCATTAACTGATAAGAACTGCTAGTGTTAACAGTGGTATTATAAATCAGCACAAGTAATGACCAGTATACTGTACATTAACGATAACTATAATTCCCAGTTATCGACTCCACTCAGGTTTTGAACCTATTTTCTGGTTGGTACTCTGGAGCTCAAAAAGGAATCAAAGCTGCTAAATATCAAAGACAGTTTAATTTTAAAACAGTTTATCTGCCCCTCCCACAAATTAATTAGCCTTCTTTGAGGACTTAAAAAAAAATTTCAACATTAAGTTAACCAGATATCAGATTATATCAAGACATTTTTAATTTTTAGATGTAATAATGAAAAATCCTTATCTCTCAGCTATGCATACCAAAATATCTATGAGTGATATAATAGGACGTCTAGACCTGCTTTAAAATAATCCAGGGCTTGGGAAGTACAAAAGACACATGATTGACCATATGCTGGTAACTGCATATGTTGGTAACTATAGTCGCTGAGTGAACTAAATGTTGTACTTTGGTCTTTACTTATGATTTTGTGAGTATTTGAATTTTCTATAAGAAAAGTTGTTTACTTGCTTAAGTCCTAAAGGAAGGGAAGGGGGAATTCATTTCTAAAAATTATTACTGATATTGTCTATACCTTTAGACCTCGGAGAATTTGGTAGATAAGGAACTGAACATGGTCATCCGTAAGCTTCTGACATTTCACGATGTTGTTCAGATCGGCCCCCATGAGATGGGTCACCAGATACCTAGAAATAATAAAAAGGTACACAATAATCTAGAACCCCTAAAAAAGCTGTTATCATCACAAAACTTTTAAAAGTTTTTAAGAAAAGGCCACCCAGTAAGTACCATTGACGACAGTTAAAAACTCAACAACTAACCATTTGTCAGGAGGTGGGGGGCGGGGTGCACCTCATTTTCAGCATCACTAGTCTAACTTAACCACCTGCCACTATTCTAAACATTTGTACACTCATTCCTACTTGACATATCTTTTCCCAGATACTTTTAAGGAAAAAGAAAACAAAAAGCAAAGATTGAGATTAGAAAGCCATATGTCATTATCAGTTTTTGTAAAAGTATTATTTTTGCATGAGAAATATACAGTATAACAACGCACGGCCAAAATAAAGTATTTTGTATTTTTAAATCTACCAGTACATTTTCACTTCATTATAAACCTTCCACATTGTAAGTCCTCAAACGGGAGTACATTTAGATTTTCAAACTACAATTCTTCTTTTTCAGGAATGACTGGCAACAGGATATTGTTCATTGACAATATTCTTGTCTCCACCTTAATGGAAGGAGGAACATGTTTCATCTGGAGGCAAGGTGAGGCATTCCAGAACTTGTGGTGCTGGTTATTAATCCCATCTTTAGGCGGCAAGATTAGGGAACAATTACATTCAAGTCCAACAGGTTCACCCCAGATATTCTAGACATAATGCCTTAACCCACTCATTACTGTATTATACTGCTCTGAAAACATCAAAACTAGATCAGTACTAAAGAAGCTGAATTTTTAAAAATAAGGGTAGGTTTTACCTACTATCTAAGAATCATTCCTGAGGTTGAATAATAATGTATATCAACTGAGTCACAAAGAATACTGATTGCATTTCATTTCTATTTTTTATCAATTTGGGGGGAAAGAAAGCAGGTCAATAAGTTTAGATCTATTATAAATGTATTATATGAATAAATATGTACATGACCTTTCTTTTTGTACACACACACACACAAGTCAACACATTATATGTATTTCTTTCCTCCAAGAGGAATTGCAGTTTTTTCTGTCACAATTCCTCTGTGGGCTGCCACAATCAGTTATCAATTTCATGAAGGTCAACTGGACTTAGCTTAGTTGTAACCTTAAGGTAAGATTTTAGTATTTCGTGTTTTTAAAATGTTTATGTTTACATTGCTTTGAGGAAAGGGTAGATCCTAAATTTATTTTAAAGAGAAAGTCAGACTATTTGAAATGTTTTCACACAGGTAGTTTTAAGAGCTGTTCCGATCTCAATATAACATCACCAAAGGCAGCTAGCACTTCCTCAGTGCCAAGCACTGTAGTAAGCAGTGTATTGTGTCCATGTCTCACGATTCTTCCTAACAACTCTGTGAGGTAAGTCTGTCTACTATATTCCCATTTCATTGATGAGGAAGTGGAGATAGAACAAGGATACGTAATCAGCTCAAGGCCAAAGGAAGTAGTAACGTCAGGAGTTGAATCTATAATAGCCTGACCTCAGAGACCATGACCTTAATCACAGCAAGTACTGCTTCCAAAAATTTGTCCACTTGGCACAGAATTTCAAGAGAATGACCTTTTTAAAAATTTTTACATATGTCACAATAACCAGAAAAGCATTCATTATCTTTCAGTAATTTTAAGAACAGGTGAATATCATTTGCCTTGAATCAAAGTACTAATTAATATGTCTGAACTAGTGCACAAAGGTGTTAGGCAATATTACTAACAAAACCAAGGCCATTTCAAGAATAACCACTGTGTTTAAATGCCCTACACAGCAAGAAGACCACTGGTTACACAGTCGGTACACTTCTACTAGAATATTCCTGTAATTCCTCTCAAACTCTTTCCCATCAGCGATCACATCCATTTTAGCACTAAAATTTCCAGAGTGAGGGTGAGACTGCCAAGACATTACATAAGTAAGATTAATCAGTCTATACACTAATAACGATCAAGCTTTACTACTAGACTACAATGAAATCAATGAAACCAATGAAACACGTTTTCATGTTTCAAAATACACCAATTTGGGGTTAAAAAACACAGTATTTTTTACACACATATGTGTGTACAAGTATCTTGTAGGTACTAACCCAATCATTATATGTTATTTCTACCAGGCCCCAAAACCAATTCATGACTACCAATTGTCAAATTCTAACTCCCATACAGATGAACTTCCAAAATAAACTTTCCAAAAGGGGACAAAAGGAAGCGTCCTGCAAAGTTACTGACTATTTATGAAAGACACACCAACTTTTATTTTTTTTTTTGAGTTGGAGTCTTACTCTGTTGCTTAGGCTAGAGTACAGCAGTGTGATCTCAGTTCACCATAGCCTGGCTAATTTTTCACCTGGGCTCAGGTGATCCTTTTGCCTCAGCCTCCGGAGTAGCTGGAACTACAGGCACACCATGCCTGGCTAATTTTTGTATTTTTTTGTAGAGGTGAATCTCTTTATGTTGCCCAGGCTGCTCTCTGACTGCTGAGCCCAAGTGATTCTCTCACCTCAGCCTCCCAGAGAGCTAGGATTACAGGTGTAAGCCACCGCTTCTGGCCCAGAGCATATTTTAAATGAATCCATTCTGGAGGTCTTATTCCCTCCACTCACCTTCTCGCTCTGCCACACCCTGTCCCTGGAGGGCAGCATGCAGTTCAGCATGCAGATCCACTTGGCCCAGCTCTCAGAGCATGCCCTGACCCTAACCTGGGGGTCCGTGCAGGCCACGAACTATGACCTGTACAGTATCTATGATTACACAATACCACCTATGGAGAAAAAGCTTGTGAAAACAGGCATTCAGGTAACTCTTCCTTCTGAGTATTATGGAAGATTACCTCCACATTCTGGCTTGGCTGCAAAACACTTAGCAGATGTATGAGCTGGTGTCATAGATGAAGATTACAGAGGAAATGTTGCTGCTTAAGTTAGGCAAGGAAAAGCTGCAAGTCAAAAAAGGTGATCGAGCCAGGCATGGTGGCTCATGCCTATAATCCCAACACTTTGGGAGGTGGAAGTGAAAGGATGCCTGAGCCCAGAGGTTCGAGACCATCCTGAACAACTTGGCAAGACCTTGTCTCCACAATAAACAGAAAAATGTTAGCCAGGCATGGCGGTATACACCTGTAGTTCCAGTTACTTGGAAGGCCGAGACAGAAGAATCACCTGAATCCAACAGGTTGAGACTGCAGCAGCTGTGAGCATGCCACTGCACTCCAGCTTGGGCGACAGAATGAGACTCCGACTCAAAAAGTAAAAAATAAATAAATTTTTTAAAAAAGGTGACCAGGCTCGGTGGCTCAGCCTGCAATCCCAGCACTTTGGGAGGCCGAGGCAAGTGGATTGCCTGAGCCCGCAGGTTCGAGGACAGCCCAAGCAACTTGGTGAGACTTCATCTCTACAATAAAAAAAATAGTAGGCCAGGCTCAGTGGCTCAGCCTGTAATCCCAGCACTTTGGGAGACCAAGACAAGTGTATTGCCTGGGCCCACAGGTTCTGTAACAACTTGGTGAGACCTCATCTCTACAATAAATAAAAAATTTGCCGGGTGCAGTAGCTTGTGCCTGTAGTTCTGGCTACTTGGAAGGCTGAGGCGGAAGGACCTTTGGAGCCCAGCAGGTCGATGTGAGTGTGCTACTGCACTCCAGCCTGGGCAAAGTAAGACTCCAGCTCAAAAACAACAAAAAAATTAGCTGGGTGAGGCAGCGTGTGACTGTGGGTCTAGCTACTTATGAGGCTGAGGCAGAAGGTTTGCCAGAGCCCAGCAGGTCAACGCTGGGGTGGCCCTGCACTCCAATCTAAGTGACGAAGCGAGACTCCAACTCAAAGGAAAAAAAAAGTCGACTGAATTGTGCAGCTTATTTGTGAACAAATTTTTTTTTTTTTGAGGTGGAGTCTCACTCTGTCACCCAGACTTGAGTGCAGTGGCCGCTCCCAGCCCCCGCAGCCTCACCTGCTGGGCTCCGGCGATACTTCCGCCTCAGCCTTCCAAGTAGCCGGAACTACAGGCGTGCACTACGATGCCTGGCTGATTTTTTTTTGATTTATTGTAGAGATGAGGTCTCGCTGCCCAGGACGGTCTCGAACCCACGGGCTCAGGCAATCCACTCACCTCAGTCTCCCAAAGGCGCGGGATTACAGGCTGAGCCACCAAGCCCGGCTGGGAACAAATTTTTTATTCAGAAATAGAAATTCAAGTTTTGGATGGTACTGAAAGGTGCTCAGGAGGTTTTGATTCCACTGGAAAGAATTAAAATTGATGCCAAAAATAGAAAATGAAAAATCACTTTTTCACGTGTCTGTTGGCTGTCCATATGTCTTCTTTTGAGAAGTGTCTATTCATGTCTTTTGCCCACTTTTTAATGGGGCTGTTTTTTGGGGTTTTTTTTCCCCCTTTTGGCACATTTGAGTTTCTTGTAGATCCTGGATGTCAAGCCTTTGTCAGATATACAGTTGGCAAATATTTTTTCCGTTCTGTGGGCTGTCTCACTGCTCTCTTGATGGTTTATTTTGCTTTGCAGAAGCTTTTCAGTTTAATGAGGTCCCACTTATCTATCTTATCTCTTATGGCATGGACATCTGGGGTTCTGATTAGGAATTGGTTGCCTACTCCGATTCCCATAAGGGTGACTCCTGCATTTTCTAAGATTCTTATGGTTTGAGGTTTTACGTTTAGGTCTTTTTGTATATGGTGATAGGTAGGGGTCCTGTTTCAATTTTCCTCATGTGGTTAGCCAGTTTTCCCAGCACCATTTACTGAATATGTTCTCTTCCCAGTAGTTGTTGGTGGAAGCTTTGTCGAAGATGAGTTGGTTGAAAAATTGAGGTTTTTGCTTCCGGAATCTCTATCCTATTCCACTGGTCTATTCTCACTAATCATCAGAGAAATGCAGATGAAAACCACATTGAGATACCACCTAACCCCAGTAAAAATGGCCATCATTAATAAAACAAAAAACAGATCCTGGCGAGGATGTGGAGAAAAGGG